CGTGGTCCTTCACATTCAAATGCGGGTGCTATTCTTGCTCGCCAAAGGACCTGGCTTGACCCACCCTGACTCAGTTTTCCAAGCTCTGGAAGGCCAGGCAAAACCTCACGAGATCGGTGGATGCCCTATTGCAGGGAACAAGGAAGAACAAGGAAACCCTCGAATTTGCCGTGATTCACGATGTGGTCGCGTATCTTTGATTTACTTGCAATCTGTACACCTATACCTTGAGCCACTCGCGCGACCAGCTGAGGCCCAAACAAGTGAATTGGAGAAGTGCCGTGGGCATTGAGATGTGGAACACCAGGATGATGAGCAGAGTGCCTCCACACTTCCAGACCCAAGAGCCATGGATTTAGATCCTTCATCTCGTTGAGCCTCTCATTGCAGATTTGGTCTTATTCGACAAAGGAAGGTTACACAAGCTGGTTGCCTGCTGCAGCAAACGGAAGCAATGATAATTGGTTTGCGCCCAGAGGCGGGCTGGTCACAGCTGAGACTGGGTGTACCAACTACTACCTAGGCTATAACCTACTAAGCGGGCTGAACACCCTTGTTGGGACTCTCACGCTAATGCCCGACAATGTCCATTCAAGTACTCAGTTTGAGGCCTCCATGTGAGAGTTGCTCAAAACCGGGTGACAATTAAGAACCACGACGAGCAGCTCTAGTGGGTCCAGAAGGACGCTCGGAATTAAGCACATGTTATGTGTGTGTGTGTGCGCGTCAAATGAAACTAGAAGCCCCCGTTTGGGTGAAAGGATGCCAAGCGTCCGGAATCCCCAGAATCCGACATCTGGCTGTGTCGATGAAGTGAAAGCTGCACCCAGCGCACGGGAACCCCACCCCTTTACCCCGAAGTCTCCTGAAACCCCAAGTACGTCTTTGACGAGAGCCCCGGAACCTCCCTACCTCAAACCAAGGATTGGCCAACGGGAAACACAAATCAAGACGAGGCTCCGTGCTGGCTCAGCTCGGACTCCCTCTGGTCGCAGCGCTCGCTCATGGGCTCGCAATACGCCCAGGCGTGCATCACTTCCTGGGTGTGGAGATTGTCATTCAAGCGAACCGGCTTCATGGTTGTTCCCAGTGTAGCGAGTGTCCACCCAAAACGGCCATAGACTGCTGAACATCTTGAGTTTCCATGGATTTTGTGAGGAACTGGGACTTGGGTGGTCCCTCCATGTTCTTCCCAAACCACTCGTCCAATGATCACCAGTGGCTCACCTCAAATAGCCCGTCGAGACTCGATGACGACTACTGCAAAGTACACCAGACTGAAGAGGGCCGTCTCCAGGAAGGACCTGGGGTGGTCCAAGGCCCCCTTGCCACGTACCCCTGACTAGGTGCTGTATTTCCTGATACATATGGTAGACCAATGTCCTGTGCCCGGGACCTGTCAACTTGCATGTTGGTGGCATGTACCGTCCATGTATACATTGTGTTTAAGATTGTTTGAGGGCCTTTGTCGCATATGAGGGTACAGTGCTTGGACCTTGAAGAGAGGGACACCCTTGAGCAATACATCCAAGCGTCTCGACAATTTAGTCAAACATTCTGCGATTTCCAGGTCCATCATGGGGTTGCGGGATGGGGCTTTGCGATGCAAACCCTTGCTTCAGCCTGAGACTGAGACTGAACCAATGTTTCAACAACCTCCTTTGAGTTTGGGTTGTTGCTTGTGCAGGGCTTGCCACCAACCCTCAACAAAAACAAACACGCTCATTAGTTGAGGAATCCTTCTTTCTGGGGACCGTTTGGGGCTTGGTTTGCTCGCATGCTGCGTTTGCATGTTGTGCGACCGGTTCTCCCGGAAGACCAATCGGGCATGTTGGGATCATTCCCAGGTCCCTTGCTTCCCTGGGAAGAGTAGGTGTTCTAAAGGCTTGACCAATCGAGTCACAATCAAAGGCTGGTACTGTATCACAGTTGTACATAAAGAGCCAATTGCGCGACAAAAAGATACAGCTAAACAAACCGAGGAATAACACCTTTTTCTGGCAATACCTATGTTAACTACTTTGCTTCAACCCTCCAGGAAGGCTTCTAGACGTGGGGAGCCCTTCAGTTTCACATAAATACCAAACGATTTGGGTATCCGTCAAATAGGAGTCCCCAACACTGGCGGTTGTCCTTGTGATGTCATTCAAACCCAAAACAAGGCACCCCAAAAGACACACACACACACAAACAACACACACACACACAGACGCTTGGACCGTCCCACATCGACCCAAATCGGCCACGTGGCGCCACCGCGAACACGGTTACCCCCCTGCTCCGCTGCGCCAAGGCATAGCGGGCCCCCGCCACCGCCACAAAGTTCAGGACTAGGTCCAGGAGCGAGGCGCACAACAAGGACCAGGCCTACGGCCATCTGGGGCTTGAGTCGTTGTCCATTCTTTGTGCATTCGTTTCAAGCATCGCTCTTCTAGGTCACTGAGCCCGGGGAAATTATCTGAGTTGCGCAAGGGCCCTTGACTAAGTCTACACCAAAACAGAGGGCCAAAAGATCAAAAGGTTGGCTGTGGGCAGATGAGTTATACACCGACCACCGCTGGGAGAAACTCCAATTTACGAAATCACAAAAAACGAAATCCTGAGGGCTGGGAAAGTTTTGCTTGTCATGCAACCCCTGTGCAATCTATTGTGTATATGATAAGCCCAGGATGAGCCGAGATAGGCTCTTTTAAGGTCTTAGGCCATTTTAGGAAAAGCTTGACATTCTGTTTTTGGGGAAACCAAAAAACAAGCACGGCCCTTTCTGTCTTACTGGACCTCAGGGGCCATTGGAGCAACCAACCAGCCCTGAAGTCGCAAAGAAACTTTTGTTTTCAGAAGAATCAATGCGCTCGACTTTGGATGGCTTGAAAGGGGAAAACAAAAACAATACCTCGGGGCCGATTAGGTTTGCAGGACTCATGAGCTCTTTGGCACCATTTGAGTGGGAAAACTATTTCAATGGCTATAATCATAAAACTGGCCAGAGCAGGGTTCCAACTACTTAGATGTCCAACCTGAAAACATCACCCAACAAAAGTAAGTTGGGCTTTCCAAGAGGTGGGATTTATGGGGAATCCTGCCGAGTGACACGACTAAACATGGTTGCGGATGCGGTAGTCTGCTTCACAAAACTGAAAAATGAGTTCCCATAGTTCCCATCTGTGAACAAAGTGACATATGTGTGAAACTGGAATCTGGACATCGGCAAGTGATGCCAAAATTAGGTTGCGGGCAAGTGCCAACATGCCATTTCTCGCAACCCAGGCCTTGCTAAAGGTGAGATTCAAGGCGGAGTAACCTAGGCCTCCCCAAGCCTCTCAAGGAACAGAAACGACTAACCATGGTTGCCAAATTGGGCAAACCAGGTGTCAAGTGGACAAGCGAGTTAAAACGTGGCATGAAAGGAGTCTACCCGAAACCGCAACAAAAACAAGAGAGGGCGGAAATCTGCAACCCATTTGGGACTGGTTAGAACTTATTTCCCACTTGGGGATTGAACCCAGGATGCGTGCACTTTCACTCGATGGAACCTTGGGCCAATGGAGAGTGTTTGGCCTGGAGCCCGCCCAACCCATTACACAAAGAACCTTGAACCATGTTGAAAACGGAAACAACGGGAATATATTATGTTGCTCTTCAAAGGTATTTTCATTTGCGGGGCCCAGTGGCGAAACAAAACATTGGAAGAGGCTGGGCGCAGCAGAGAGGCGTGATGATGTACAATGGCGAAGCCCAATGCAAGATCACCTGAGGCGAACCTCCCAACAACGAGCATGGCTTGGTGTATTTCCGTCCCTTTTTGGAACCAACATTTGAATGGGATTCTGCACACTTCCATGTTGGGGGAGGGAGGGTATTCTTGTGCAGCCATGGCTAAGGAATGGTTGCCAAAGTTGAAGCGGCAACCAAAAGGAGACCAAAAGAAAAGAGGCTAAAACAAACCAAAAGCAGACCGTGACCAAACAAATGTCCAAAAGGTTGATTGGCTTGCGCGAGTAGCAAATGATGCGGATGAGAGCGATGGTCGAAGCTACCAGGGAGCAGTAGATCAAGCGCACAGCTCCAGTCCCTCGTTGATATTCCACCCCAAACAGGGTGCCATAGGTAGACTTCATCGAGGATGGCAATGGATGGCAATTTGCAAAATACAGAGACCTGAACTTAAAGGGGCTGCGGATGGAAAGCGCTGCGTGTTTGTGTGTGTGTCTCAAAAGTGGAAGACCCCCGAAACGGCTGGTTTCCGTACGTCCAAACATAGGGAGAGTACTCCATGTTTGGATGGGGTTTAAGCTTCTGGATTGGGGTTCAAGTGAAAAAGAAAAGCAAGCAGGTTCCGAGGTGTTCCTGTTTTTGGGAGCACAACCAAATGCGACATGGGCAGAACTCCGAAAGTGGACCCTTTCCATGGGTATCTAAAGCCCCTTTGGTGGCTGACGATCATCCTCACGAACCCCAAGTGAAAGGCTAGCTTGACCATGGCACAAATGCTTCGGCACGATAGACGGCCAAAACAGAGCGAATCCGATGCAACTTGACCGAATACGCGTAGCTCTTGTTGCTTTGCAAGAGCTCTTATGCTCCATCATGCGGGTGAGAAGTGACACAGGAGCAGATTCGGGAGGCAAGCATATGTGGGTGTCTCTAAATGAGGGACCCCAAAACGAATAGTTTCCCTCTGGTTTCCTGTTGAACAACCAAAAAAAAAACAGAAAAATCACACCCATATTCCACTGCCGAGAACCTGACATGGAGTCAGAGGTTGGCATGAATTCAACCAACCTCCTTGGATGCCGAGAAGGAATGAGCCTGTGCCGGTCAACTGAGCAATGCCCAAAACCTATCAGCGTATATGGTTCTACCAGAGTTACAATGTCGCGCTAAGGGAGTAAACCGTTTAACCCTCTTACTAAAGTGGCCCGCTTATTTTGGGCACTGCTCAACGATTCCAGTGTCTGGAATTGCCTTTGAAAAACATTGGCTGAAAGGCTTTGCTTCAGCTATTGCACGCGCAGGCCTTTCGACCATTCACCCTCGATGGTTTTGCCTGCCTTATCAGTAAGACTTCCGTGCCCATGCTGCTTGCCTTGCTCCCAGCCTCCTGGCAACACGAGGCGCTGGGAACAAAGCGCGAGGATGCTGGGTCGCTGTTGGGCTTCGCAAACACAGCCAAACAGGGCCCTTAAAAGTGACATCCTCAAGATCAACAGAAATGATGGTTTCCCTCCAAAAGAGATGTTGAAATTGAAAAGAGGTCACATGGATGGACCCAGCCAAAGGGGTTGAAAACCAGGGCACGCACCTTCCATGAGTGTGTGCTACATCCCTGGTTTCCTTTTACTCAAAATGCAACACAGGAAGAAAATCCCTGGTAATCATAGAAAACCCACGAAGCTACTTTGCCCCAGAGCTTGGAACCCTGGCTGCGGTCTGGCAGAATCGTAAAGACCGCAGCACCCCCCCTGTGGCTTCCTTGAGACAACCAACGGGGCCATGATGTACTTAGGCGTAAATCTCGCGCATTCAAAAAATATCCGCACACTTGCATGTGCCTTCTTATTCGAGGGGAGGGGGGACGGATTAAGAATCCGCGAATGCTGCACATCAGTGATCTGGAAGACTTGTGTCAGGCCGCGGGTTCTCCCTCCCGAAACTCCCCCAATGCATCCGTGCTTCCGACAAGTGATGCGTTAAACGGTATATTTGAAGGGACCAAATAGCTGGAGCCCTCTCCAAGTATACGGCAAGTGAATCCGACCATGTCTAGCCACCAACAAATCGCAGGGTTTCCACCATGTGTGTTCTTTGTCAAGGGTATTTTTGGGGTCCAACCCAGTTTGCACGTGTAAGCGGATCTTTGCGTTTAAGGGAAACCAACCCTTTGTCCATGTCCGGAGATGTCCGGAGACTTCCCTCCTTGGTAGACCTTGCCATCAGGCCAGCGGAAGGTGCCGGTCCCGTGCCGCAGGCCGCGTTGGTAGTCCCCCACGTAGGACCGTCCGTCCGGCCACTTGAAGCGGCCCTTCCCATGGATTTGGTTGGCCTCCGGTGCTAAGGACAGCTTCTTGGTGTGGTTTGGTTTAGCCGGGCTCTTGGGGAGTCAGAGGCAAAAGGGCTGGAGCGACTCAGGATTCCCAAAGACAAATCTCTCGGTACCTCTTTTGACGCAAAAGCAGGGCTCCTCTCCCTGTTCCCCAACTCTTGGTTTGGTATCGGCCTGCTTTGGGGGGGAGCCTTTCATTCTCTCATTCCGCCCGAATGAAACATACATGAAATGGTCGGAGGGTGCTTCTTTTCGGCGAGCTGTTTTCGCGCCTCCCACTGGCCCTCGTACATGCGGCCGTCGGACCATTTCTGCTTGCCCTGGCCACAGATCAAGTCCTCGTGGAAGAAGCCCTCGGGGACCCATCGGCTAGAAGATAGGCGGGTGCCCGGGGCACATGAGAACCCCTTAGGCCCTTGGGGCCCTTGGGCTGATTTTGAACTGCATGTAGAAGCCAGTGACCTGAAAAAGCCCTTTCCTTGCATGTCATAAATGTGTTTCTGTGTCATCCTTCCGCTGGCCCCCCCGCTTTCACATACTCGTGGACACCAACCTACACAAATACCAATCCACGCCAGATGTTGGTCTAACTTCCGGAAAGTCCTGTAGCTGGTTTGTTAAATGTACCCCCGAGTGAACAGGCTCCAGGGACAAAGGTTCATCGGGACCCTCAAATCACTTTTCCAGGGACCCTCACTCTAAAGAGCGGCACCAAAACAAGCTGCCAAGCTTGTTCTACCAAGGTGGTGATCATTGTATGATAATGTGGGCCTTGCCATCAAGCAAGATAGGGTTCCTCCGACTTCCTCTCTGAACACCACTCCAGTGTACGGGCCTCTTTACTTTTGCCTGGTATGCGAGCTCCTCAAGTATGGCCATAGCCAAGGAGCCCAAAGGTGTCCCCTGCCCCCAAAGATGCATCTCAGAAAGGCAAAAAGCATGCACCTTGTACTGCTGCGGTTTGTTTCATAGACCAACACCAGCCCAACCCAACCAAAAATAGGCTAGATCATGTAACAACCACTCAGGGTTTGTCGATTGTCCCCACAGAGACCGTGCTTCAGGCACCACACGCTTTGACTCACGCGCCTTGTACTCAGACCCGTCGGGCCATCGGAAAGTGCCTTCGCCAGATTTCTTGCCCTCCTCGTAGCCTTCGATCGAGGCCGCGCCAAAACGGGCTCCAACTTTGCCCGTGTGTGGTTGAGGGCTTTACCTGTAACTCGTTCGACCTGGAAACGTCACCTTTCTAACCAAACAACGAAAACGATCTCAAAATCAAAAGCACCCGTTGGGATGTTTTTGGAAAGGACGCCAAAAAGAAATCAGCGGAAAGCTACATGGAAAGATCAACTACCCCTCGTCTTGAGAAATGCCCGTATAGGCATGATGCTTAATTGGGCGGCCCTTTTGAGCACGTCAACGCAACAATTAATAGCCATATCTATGAACAACTAGTATGATCGCCCGCCAAGTTGCCTTGTTTTGCCAGGCTTTCGCGGTTGACTCTGGTTGATGCACTTAAGATAAGAAAACACAATGCACACGCATATCATCCAACCTAAAACCCTCAGGCCGAGGGGCTTCCAGAGAACCTGCCGCCGTCGTTGTAGTGCTCCTCCCCATGCCCGTGCTTCATGTCGTTCAGCCATTCACCTTCGTACCTCAGCTTTGTGAGCACCATTTGCAGGTACAGGTGTTGGAAGGTGTGAGTTTTGGAGGTATGGGTTTTGTAGCATAACTATGGGTAATGCCGGTAATGCCCAGATATATATATATATATATACACATCACATATATATATATATACATATATATATATATATACATACATATTTGCTCTATATGTACACATCATATATATATATATACACACACACACGTGTACACTCCAATGTAAGGTTGCACAGCTCCAGACCCTTCAGTTTCCCAGGAAATTAAGGCGGGGTACTGACTTTCCGTTCTTGTGGTTTAGCCCATAGCCTCGTACAACGAATGCTTCCCACTGGGCAAACTAGGTCCCAGTCTCAACCCTTTTCAGTTGACATTTGGCCTCCTGTCCTCCCCAAACCAACAGCAGCTCAACTCCAGTGAAGCAAGTGACCGCCCATTGGCGGGCTAGTTCCAGTTTCTTGATCCCACATTTGGGGCCCGGACAGGCTCAAGCAAATGAAAATGCATCAGGTTCCCTGAACGTCTTCTTTTAAACATCATCTCACCCAAGAAAACACTCTGTGGTTGGGCCGTGTAATTATGGGCCGCAAAGGCGATGTTCGCCAGGAAACATGGGGATCAACACGCCCTGAAACACCTCGGCTTCCGCATGAGGACCTAGCCTGACCCTGTTGGTGGCGATGTGGATCCCGTGCCCGCTGGCCTGGCCGAAATCAGGAAGCTTCCGTTCGAGCCGAGTCGAGCCGAGTCGCGCTCGTCGCGAGCGCGACTCGACGCGCCTTTCCGTGCTTCCACTGCCCGTCGTAGATGTCCTCCTGCCACAGCCACAGCGGCCAAAGGGAAAGCGTCTAGGGGTCATGAACTGCACAAAAAACCAACTCCATCCAAGTCAGAAGCCCGTCTATGCTAGCTGATCCTTCAAAAAAGGAAAACTGGACCGCACAACATGTCCGCTGGTCAGAACCTCAAAGCTATATGCCGCTAGTTCTTTGGCCATTCCTTTTGGATCCCAGTGAGCAAGTTGATGCCACAAGAGAATTCATGCTCTCGCTCTCTCTCGAGCCTGCTCCAGTCTGCCCAGTCCATGTGGCACGTCGTGAAACCATTGGCCAGAAAACCGACTGCCGTCAGACCAGACCTGCACGCACGATGGGGAAAGCATTCTAGGATTTGGGCATTCTTCGCGTGGCGTATACTGCCTCTTGTAAAACCATGCCCGTCTGCCGTCAAACCAACACAGGGAGTGGGTGGGACATGGTGGGACCGTCCCTCGCTCAACTGTGAGTCTGTCAAGCAGAGTCAAGCATAGCATGCGGACGTCCTAGGCTTGTCTCCACATGGAAGAATTGTGGGTGAAAAACAACCCAAAAAGACCAGTTCCACCTCAATTAATTTGTAGGAGAGTGATGGCTTGCGCACAGCTCCGCTCCAGCCTGCGTGCCCCTGCCGTGGCGGTAGCATCCTGGTATGAGCCACAGTCATTGATTGCGTCAACTGACATCGGATCTGCACCAACTTGCATATTCGTCGACTGGAACAGAACCGCCAATCGCAGGAGACGTCGGCTCCCAGCTGTTTTACGGCATCTCCTCCTGTTCATCTACTCAGGTCCTATTTGTGATTCATTCTGGCCCCGCGCTCTGGCCATCGCCAAAGTTCATCCCACGACCGGTGCAACATAGGCTAAAGGGAAAGGACTCAGTTCCTGACTTCGAACGTTCCCAGAAGCAGCCAACGTCGGACACACCCATCAACAGAAGAACGCCACTGTTGGTCGTTGTCTGTGTTAAGACACACTCCCTAGGTTCGATTCGCTTCCCGTCCTAGCCACTCGCCCTGGTAGTTACCGCCGTCTTTGTCCTCCAGCTTCGGGCGGGCCTCCGCTCAGAGAAGTATGCGAAGCACCAGTGAGAAAGTCGAGCGCCCGTCTTTGTGGGAAAACAGACAATTTGGTAGACTTAATGCTTGAGTCTCATGTCCCTCCAATTTTGACGGTGGTCCCAATGTACCTGGCGTTGATCCGGAGATTGGTTTAAGCGAACTTGAACCGAGAAAAATCACAGCAACCTCTCCTTCTAGGTGCTCCCTCCGCAAACCGACCCACATCTGGTTATAACCCATATGTTACTGAAGCATGCCAGTCAGACATAGAAGTGAGTTGTACCCATGGTTGCTACGAGAAATTGGGCTCAGCATCCATGCAGCGGACCAGAAATGGCAACAAGTTCCGTCACCTTTCCACCTGTGCATCCGTTGACCCCGCTGCAGGTTATGAAAGTTGTGGTCATAGTTCCCATGCCCTAGATCAACCCTCTCGTGGCTGTCCCAATTGCCATTAAGGGGTTCACAGCCAGCCCCAAGTACCACGGCATATGGGTGTGCCTTGGCGTTTTGAATGCAAACCACAGGAAAACTGTCCATCTGTCCGGCTTGGGCTGACCCGATTTAGTCCCTCGTCCTGCCTGCGCCTTGGGCTTCTTGGACGGCAGCGCTGCTACGGGAGAGATCTTCACCGCCTACGCTGGCAGCCCCATAGAATCCACAGCAAAGTGAATCGCGATCAAATGAGTCGAATGTTCAAAGAGTACGGCTCTGGTTCTTGAAAAGGGCAGTGCCTTAGAACACCATGGGGGCCCCGGGCCGGGCGGCCCCGGCCATTGACAAGCACGTTTGAGGTTTTGGTTGCGGCTCATTCTGGCTCCATCATTGCCTGAAAGTCCCCCCCCTAAGTGATAGGCGTAAGGGAAATGGCGGGTTTCAGAAACTCTGACCCTAGAATGCAGACAAGCCCAGGTGGTAGCCCCAACAGCAGCCCCCTGCACGATTACAGAACCGAATCACTCCCGAGCCTACATATCTAGGCACAGGCTGACCCCAAAGAATCCAGCTGTTGGGGAAAAACGTGGCGAAGACTCCAGGGCATCGAAAGTTGGCTCGTGACAAGTTGTTCAGACGAGTCGGCCCTGGGCCCACTAAGAGCATGTTCGGAATCCGGTCTATATGCTAAGCCTTCAAGTGAACCAAACATGTCAAAGGAGGCCTCAGCACTAACAACCGCAGGGTCTCACCCTTGGCTTTTGACTTGCTTCTGCAGATTAACATGGACCCCAACAATTCTCCATGTGTCGAGAGTCCTTTCGTTACAACAGGGAAACCAGCCTGACTTCCCTGCGTTCTCAATTAAAACCATGCACAATGACATGTTGTTGTTGTGCTCCTTTCAACCGTTAAACCCATACCAATCTGTGCAGCACTTGCCACTTGCCGAACGGAGTCCAAGCCTTGCACACCTCGTCGGCGTCAGGCCTGGCCTGACAACACGAAGCAAGAGGGAAATTCGCCCGGAACCCGATCCTGAAAACCAAAGAGGACATAAGAAAATGAGTGAATTCCTAGGTTTGTGTGAAAAATGTCTTGGACCGACCGATCATTTTGGCCAAACCTGTGGCAAAAGTGACAGCAATGAATGCATGCCACCCCATGTGTGCCAAGCAACATGGAACCAATCTTTCATTGGCGGGCTGGTTTGAAGATGTGAAGTCAGAAATCAAATTCAAATTGCAAAACCCAAAAGCAAAGCACTGTGAAGGAAATTCTTGTTCGCATCCTACTGATCCATCGCTCCAAGCGATTGCCTCCATCTCGTCAGTAGCGGCCACCATGTGCATGGCATATTCGTCCACGGTGTCGGCCTAGGATTTCCGGAATCCGACCAAAAAAGGGGGCCCGTTGGGTTGGTGTTAGAATGAGGGAGGGAGGGAGGGAGGGAGGGAGGGAGCGAGGGAGGCAGATTGCCCAGCTGCACATCGTTGGGGGGGTGACCAAAATACCTGGGTGCCCTCCGACAAGGGTGCTCAGATTTTTTGCGAGTTAGCTAAGCAGCATTCAAAGTAGGGGTATACAGTAGCTAACCTCCTAAACTCCAGACACTCCAGCAAAACTAAGTGGATTCTTTGAAGATTCTCCTGACAGCCCCGACTCAACGCACAACCCACCCCCCACCCCCTGCCCCCGCTGAGGCGGTGACATGCACGATCCTGTTCACTACGTCCCTCAGAGATGCGCACTGGACCCACTGGATGCCACGAACGTTTGCCGGTTCCACGTGGGGTAACTTGGAATAAGCTCAGGCGATATCCCCAACAGCACCAGAATCCTCGCGGAACCTGTCCCGGGACCCACCTCACCGCCGGTTTTGCTGAGGATGCCGCCTTCTAACTTTAGAAGCAAAGCTAAGAGTGACGGCGCAATCGGGGCCCGAACCTTGCAGAACCTTACCTCATGGAACCCTGGTCGAACCCTGGTGGAACCCTCTCGTGGAACCTTACCTCAAACCATCCCGGACCACCCCACAGCCCTCGCAAAACCTTGTGAAACCCTGCTCAAACGCAGAACCTCGTGGAACCCTGCTGCAACCCTGGTGCAACTCTCATGGAACCTTACCTTGCAGGACTTGGTTGGTGCAACCCTGGTGCAACCCTGGTGGGGAACGCTGGTGGAACCCTGGGGGAACCTTTCCTTGGAGCCCATCTGGGCTGAGAGGGCAGTTTCAAACCACCAGGCTGCCAGGCCTTGCCAAAAAAGAGAGTAACAACCACGCGAGGGGGGCGTGGGTTGCCCCACTCCACTTTGTAGATAGGTGGGTCGCATACGAAAATAGAAGGGGTGCACTTGAGCGGGTGCTCTTGCCTTTTGGCATGCGTGGACTTGAGGCGTGCTTCAATTTGGCAGGTGTGTGTGTGTGGGTGTGTGTGTGCTTGTGTTTGTGTTTGCGCTTGCGCTTGCGCTTGTGCTTGTGCTTGTGCTTGTGCCTGTGCTTGTGCTTGACCTTGCGCTTGACCTTGTGCTTGTGCTTGTGCTTGTGCTTCTGTTTCTGTGTCTGTGTCTGATTCTGTTTCTGTTTCTGGTTCTGGTTCTGGTTTTGCTTGTGATTCTGTTTCTGTTTCTGTTTCTGTGTGTCTGTGTGTCTGCTTGTCTGCTTGTCTGCTTGTCTGCTTGTCTGCTTGTCTGCTTGTGCGCTTGTGCGCTTGTGCGCTTGTGTGCTTGTGTGCTTGTGTGCTTATGCGCTTCTGCGCTTGTGTACTTGTGTGCTATTGCGCGCTTGTGTGCTTCTGTGCTCCGGTTGTGCGCTTGCGTGCTTGCGCATTTGCGCGTTTGCACGTTTGCGCGTTTGCGTGTTTTCATGTTTTGCACGTTTGCGTGTTTGCGTGTTTGCGCGTGCGCGCGTGTGCGCGTGTGCGCGCGCGCGCGTGCGCGCGTGTGCGCGTGTGCGCGTGTGCGTGCGCGTGCGTGCGTGCGTGCGCGCGTGCGTGCGCGCGTGCGTGTGCGTGTGCGTGTGTGCGTGTGCGTGTGCGTGAGCGTGTGCGTGTGCGTGATCGTGCGCGTGTGCGTGTGCGCCTGCGCGTGCGTGTTCGTGCGCGTGTGCGTGTGCGTGTGCGTGTGCATGTGCGTGCGCGTGTGCGTGTGCGTGTCTGTGTGTCTGTGTGTGTGTGTTTGTGTGTGTGTTTATGTGTGTGTGTGTGGTGTGTGCGGTGTGTTTGGTGTGTGGTGTGTGGTGTGTGTGTAGTGTGTGTGTAGTGTGTGTGTGTGTGTGTAGTGTGTGTGTGGTGTGTGTGTGTAGTGTGTGTGTGTGTAGTGTGCGTGCGTGTGTAGTGTGTGTGTGTGTGCTGTGTGTGTGTGTGCTGTGTGGCGCGTGGTGTGTGACGCGCGTGGTGTGTGGTGTGTGTGTATGCGTGTGCGTGTGCGTGCGCGTGCGTGCGCGTGTGCGTGTGCGTGCGCGTGTGCCGGTGCGTGTGCGGGTGCGTGCGCGTGTGCCGGTGCGCATGCGTGTGCGGGTGCGGTTGTGCGCGTGGGTGCGCGTGCGTGCGTGCGCATATGCGCGTGTGCGCGTGTGCGCGTGCGCGCGTGGGCGCGTGGGCGCGTGTGCGCGTGGGTTCGAGTGCACGTGTGCGCGTGTGCTCGTGCGAGCGTGTGCGCGCGCGCAAGCGCATGCGCGCCTGTGCGCGTGTGCGCGTGTGCGTGTGTGCGCGCGTGCGCGTGTTCGCGCGCGCACGTGCGCGTGTGCGCTGCGCGCATGTGCGTGGGTGCACAGGTGTGCGTGCGCGCGTGCGCGCATGCGCTCGTGCGCGCATGCCCTCGTGCGCGCGTGAGCGCGTGCGTGCGTGCGTGTGCGTGTGCGTGCGTGCGTGCGTGCGTGGTTGCGTGCGTGCGTGCGCGCGTGTGTGCGTGCGTGCGTGCGTGCGTGCGTGCGTGCGTGCGTGCGTGCGTGCGTGCGTGCGTGCGTGCGTGCGTGCGTGCGTGCGTGCGTGCGTGCGTGCGTGCGTGCGTGCGTGCGTGGGTGGGTGTGTTCTTTTTTTGTGTGTGTGTGTGTGTGTGTGTGTGTGTGTGTGTGTGCGTGCGTGCGTGCGTGCGTGCGCGCGAGTGCGTGAGTGCGTGTGCATGAGTGCGTGTGCGTGTGCGTGTGCGTGGGCGTGTGCGTGGGCGTGTGCGTGCGCGTGTGCGCGTGCGTGTGGGTTTGGGTTTGGGTGTGGGTGTGGGTGTGGGTGTGGGTGTGTGTGTGTGTGTGTGTGTGCGTGTGCGTGTGCCTATTCGTGCGCGTGTGCGTGTGCGCCCGTGTGTGTGTGTAGGTGTGCGTGTGCGTGCCCGTGCGCGTGCGCGTGTGCGTGCGCGTGTGCGTGTGCGTGTGCGTGAGCGTGCGCGTCGTGTGCGTGTGATGTGCGTGTGCATGGGGGTGAAGGCCGGGGTGGGGGCGGGGGTGGGGGCGTTGGTGTGGGTGTGGGTGTGGGTGTGTGTGTGTGTGTGTGTGTCTGTCTCTGTGTGTCTCTGTGTGTGTGTGTCTGTCTCTGTGTCTCTGTGTGTCTGTGTGTGTGTGTGTCTGTGTGTGTCTCTGTGTGTCTGTGTGTCTGTGTGTGTCTGTGTGTGTCTCTGTGGTTCTCTGTGTGTCTCTGTGTGCCTGTGTGTGTCTCTGTGATCTCTGTGTCTCTGTATGTGTCTGTGTGTCTGTGTGTCTCTGCGTGTCTGTGTGTGTCTGTGTGTGTCTGTGTGTGTCTCCGTGTGTCTCTGTGTGTGTGTGTGTCTGTGCGTGTCTCTGCGTGTCTGTGTGTGTCTGTGTGTGTCTGTGTGTGTGTCTGCGTGTGTCTGTTTGTGTCTGTGTGTGTCTGTGTGTGTCTCTGTGGCTCTCTGTGTGCCTCCGTCTGCCTCTGTGTGCATTGCTGAGCGGGTGCACTTGCGTTCCCGCTATTTTTATTTTTATTTTTATTTCTTTTTAAAGAAACGATGCCCTTGGCGACATGGGAAAACAACATGACCACCTGGCGAGTTTGAAACCCAAAACAACAAACGTGTCGGCGATTCAAAACACAGGACAACAGGACCCGCCAGGATCCAAGACACGCCATTAACGCATGGCTCAAATCTGGTGTTTGCGAGTTGCTGCAAGCCCTCAGCCACTTGAAACTCTACCTCAGCTCGTGCTCTCAACCAAAAGTGGCATGTTTAGATGATAGCCCCGCTATTGACCCACGGACAAAGTAGTAAACGTCCCAAAAACACATTTTTGTTAATGATCCTCCCTTCTCAAATTACCAGTAGGCTGCCAATATCAAAAAAAAGCCTATTACACACTGGATTACCCCCATGACTCGTGCAAACTTGAGCAATGGCTCATTTCCGCCGCAAACCCAGGTGGAATAATCCTTAGACTATAGTATTCATGTTGAACAGGTTTGTCCAGGTGTTGGAGCTTGCCGGGCCAGCTGTCCGGCCTTCCCTTGGTTTCCCCCTTCCCCCGAGACCAAGCCCGGCGCTTGCATTCGCAAAAGCCATCTTGGCTTGAACCAGCCCCCATAGCCTCACGAGGCAATGGCAAGGTCTCCTGAAACCGTGCCAAATAAAACAAAGACACTCGCCACGTTGTCTTTGGCTCTGTTTGTGATGAGGCGTGATGGTTTAATTAAGTGGGCCCGATGTGGCAAAATGAATATTTTGACAACTGCATTGCATGGAACATTGGCCAAAAGACAATTCATTGTGCGTGGAGAGGTTTAACCAGCAACCCATGCTGGCAATGGCCACAGCTATGCCATTGTCAAACCTCCATCAAGGCAGGATGGTCATGGTTCCCTCGAGACAAACTCTACCCTCTCACCAACAAACACGGAAATGCACACAAACACACCAGGTTTAGTGAAATTGGAAAAGGCGATAGGCGATGCTTCATTTTTTTCTGGGTGCGGGTTGATCCAAACAGATCGGCTGGCTACTGAGCAGTGAGGGCACCAACATTCCCCGAACCAAAGTGCAAGCTCATGGCGTTCTTGGCCATGGCAGCCACCGCGACTTAGAGGAAAGTCCTCGTCCCGTTGATCGCATCACCGGATGATCAAGTGCCAAGGCTGATGCCGGGTCCATTCAAGTGACATCCTCAAAAGTACCGCCTACATGGTGATTTGGATTGAAATCACACCAAATATTCGCTGTAAGGGGGCCCAGTGCTGGAGATCACTTGTTGAGAGAGAGAGAGAGAGACCCTTGCAGATCCAATCCGGCCTGTCAGACACGCCGGGCACGTTGCACCATGGCACCAGGCACATGTTGAAGCCCGCAAAGCTCCAGCTTGGAATCAGTTCTTCTAGAGTTGGCTATTGATGGCTTAGGGCTGATTGAAAAGAAAAAGCTAGTCAGGCAGTCAACTCAACTCAAACTGACAGCTGCTTCTGTCCACCTCTAAAAGCCACGCTCGTCAATGTTAAGATTTGTGGTCTGTCTTGGCTCCTTGGTATATGCGAAGCGTCCCCTTACTGCGGCAAGCGAAATGCGTCGGGATGTGGCGCGCGGACACAACGCCCCTGAGGCGGCCGCTGTCAAGCTCACTGTTCGGATGTAAAGAATCCGTGGGGAACGGATGCCTGCTAAACAGCCCCATACGCAACAAATATCATACCAGATGGATGGCAAGGGCCACGGTCTACTAGTGCGGTGTCTAACAGACCTCACTGATTTTGTCAGGGGCAAGTTGAAAGCTGCAATGCGTGTTCAAGGCCCCCGGCATCTGCTGCTGCTCGTACCTGTTCCGGGAAAAGACGAAAGGGTGGTTGTCAAAACTGTGACCCCAGTCAAGGAACCCCTAAAGGCAGAACGCATCCCAATCCGAATGTTTACAAAGGAAGAGCTTTTGCATAACCCAAAGATTCAGGATTGTTGAACAGCTGGCGACTCTTAAGTTCTTCGAAAGCCCCAGGCCGATTGAAAGTAGCAGGCCATGGCAGGCCTCTTCTTGCCTTTGACGACAACCTCTATCCTCTTTTCACACCTGAGCCGTCAGCGTGGGCGAGTCAAGCAGGGCCCGTTCTCCTGGAGCCCATTCTATCTTTGTGGCTTCCTTTGCAAAATAACCCGTTCATGGCCAACTCAATGAGAGAACTTGCCCGAAAAGTGACGCTTTGACCTCGTTTAATGTAGTCTTGAAGGACCCTGACCGTATCTGCTGCAGGCTCGCGCCTTTTGCCTTCTGCCCCAACGCATTTCTGGGCGCTGGGCTCTCCAGGCATGAACCTGTCAAAGGAGCAAGTTCGGCGTATGCTGATTCCTACTGACCATACCTACGAGGATTCGCTTGGCATGGTAAATATTTGTTGACGACCATGACTCTGCACAACGCAAGCGTTGTAATGCATCGCGTTGATATATACAAATATACATTTGAAGCAGGGACTGTGCCGTACGTGCCACTTCGAAGTGGAACACAAACAGCTTTATCACGCGTACCTGTTTGTGCATATGTCTAGGTTGACCTGTTGGTCAAGCTGGCAATCTGCAAGGCAGCCAGCCAATTTTTTTTGTTGCGCTTGGCGCAGCCTGTCTATCTCTTGCTCTTTCTCTACAGGGTTGCTCACAAAAAGGGGCCTCAACACAAAGGCAGAGTTAGGCATTGTCCCTTCTAAATTCCTCAGCCTTCCTCGGACACAATCTGCGGAGGCTCTCAGAGCTTAAGTCAATCTAGGCCCTCCAAAGCCAACATCATTCCGCCAACTGTGCTGGCTGACGTTCTTAGTTGTTCCCTTCGGTTTTGACTTTGGTTCTGGGTGTTCTCGTTCTTGCTCAAAAAGAGGCGGCAGAAAGGTGAACCACGGTTTCCACCTCCAGTTACGAAGGAAAAATGACAGACCAACAACAGATAATGGCCATGTCAGGTTTCCAACTACATATCCAATTTAAACACTACCCTGTCCACCACAAGTTCACTTGAACAAATCGCCAAACAAAGAACGGCCTGTTTCCTCGCTGGAGATCCCAGCTCCAAAGTCTCCTGCGGTCAAACGCGGCGGCCCGGCTCCAAGGATCCTTCCAACGCCTCGAAGTCCTCCCCAGCCTGGATGACTTGGAAGGGCGCCCGTGGCTTGCGAGAGCTCAGCCCATGGGGGATGGTAGACTATGTGCACATGTATTAGAGCGTATAATATATATGGTCCCCCCCTGGAATACTCAGGTTTTTAGCCAAAGGCCAGAAGTTGACATTTTGGCTGTAAAAATGCATGTAAAACACACGTTCCAGCCTGTAAAATGAGGCTCTAAAAATGCACTCCTGTTTTTAGACTTAGATTCTAGCATCGGTACTTAGTGCAATCCAGGATGTGCTAGCACGTGCTAGCACATCCTGGATTGAAGATTGAAGATTGAAGATTGAAGATTCTCTGACAATTCTTGCTGGGAATCTTCAAATCTGTACATAGGGCAATCCAGGGTGCGCATGTGCTAGCACGTGCTGCCACATCCTGGATTGAAGATTGAAGATTGAAGATTCTCTGACAACTCTCTCAGGGATTATTCAATCTTCAATCCAGGATGTGCTAGCACGTGCTAGCACATATTAGTTTGTCCTAAGGATGGATTGAAGATTTCCGGAACAAGTGGTCTGAGAATCTTCAATCTTCAATCTTCAATCCAGGATGTGCTAGCACGTGCTAGCACATTCTGGATTGCCCTAAGTACACATCTTAAGAACTCCAGCAAGACTTGTCAGAGAATCTTCAATCTTCAATCCATATTCTGGATTGTTCTAAGTGCGGATTTGAAGAATCCAAAAGGCAGACCGGGAGCGCACATTGTCGGAATCAAATTGTGGATGTGCACTTGCGCTGCCTGCATTTGGCTAGGGTGGAAAAATGTTGTTGACATCTTTACAGGCTTTTTGTGAACTTGAGGGCTGGCCAGGATGGAAGATTCTCAAATACAAAATCTGGTCGATCTTCAATCTTCAATGCAGGGGGCAAATCCTTAATGAGGCTAGAACAAAATGTCAAGCTTTTGGGGGGCCAGGATTGAGGATGTTCTAAACATATGCTTGTGAAAGCTTGTATATTCGATCTTCGATCCAGGGCAACACAATCTGAGCAAATGCTGAAAAACACTGCGATTTACAGCATTGCTGCCAAGAATAAGATCTATGATTGAAAACACTTTCTGTCATTGGCTTGGCTCAGTTCTTGCTTGGTTCAAACCACATGAAGTTCGACAAGGACAATAACCCTTTCAAAAATTGAGTTTTGGTTTGAACTCGAACGTGTTTTAAATTACTTTGAATTTCCCATACTTTGAATTTCAATAGTTGTTATTGGCGATTATTGAATCAACTTAGACAAGCAACACACAACTGAGATAGTTGCTTTGCAAAATCAGGTTCAAATAGACTGAACTAGCATGTACATGGAATTATGCACAACACTCGAGTTCCTTTTCCCCAAGTTGATGATTTGCTGAATTCCGCTGCCAAACAAAGAATAAAAAAAAATTGCTACAGGCGCGTTGAAGCTGCCAAAGCATACTTCGCGCGCTACTCTTGTGCTGAAAAGTTGTGCTTTTTGAGCTGGAGCTGCCAAAGTGCACTTTGCATACTCCAATGTGACTTTAAGTGCACTTCGCGCTCGCCAATGTGACGATCACACAACTCCTATTCAACGTTAAGCTTAACTTCTGCTTGGGTGGAATTCGCTTTGCACGGAGTTGCGCGTCCAGTCAGTTCATTTCAGAGTCTCAAGGCATTTGTCACCCCCTGTCTGGCCAAAAACCTCAGTTCTGGCCAAAAACCTGCGTATTTCAAGGGGAGGTAGCATATATATATATATATACACCTACGTGCACATATACATCTATATATACATAAACATGCACAAATTAACTGTTGAACTGTATATATATATATATATACATATTATCATGCAGGTACTAGTACCTGTCTGTTGGGCTTGCTGCAGCCAAAGCCCAACAACCAACAAAAAGGAAGAAGAAGAAGAAGAAGAAGAAAAAAAGAGGTATCAACCAGTGTCCCGAACTCCGCACTGTCCCCTGAAGCGGTTTTTCCTTGTCAAAACAGCATCCGAAAGGAGGTGCTCCTTTCCAATAGGAGTGACACGGATCTTGCAGCGCGAACACACAGGACCTGAGCCCAAGAGCCCCCAGCCTGTGCAGAGGCGTTTTCAGATCTGTACTTGAAAGAGACCTGGAGTCGGCTCATGCGCAACTCGGGCAACACCCAACTCATCGCAGCGGCAGATTGACCTCCCTCGACTCCCAGCCACTTGTTGTTGGGGCCTGGTTCAGAGGGCGTTTCCTCTGCGGGCCCCCGTATTTTTGGTCTCCGCGCCCCAGAGCATAGTTTGGGGGTTCCATCTCAAGGGTCGGTGCAGGGTGCGCCTGTCCGCTGGCGCCCTCTTTCCGGGTCACCAAGACATCCGTCTGGCCGAAAGCCGACGTCGGATTTCCGGCTCGAGGGCTTCCGAATTGGGGATTGTCAGATGCGACTCTGGGTGCTTCATGTCCATATGTGATACCCCTAAAACTATCCGATTG